ATTAATACCTGCCTCATAGTTATTGTAAGTTAACAGCAAGTTAATACATGCAAAGTACTTAGCACACTGTGTGGTACATAGCACCGCTTGGCAAATATCAGCAGCTTCTGCTACAACTACTATTACTATTGGCTTGTATATAAAATGGTCCCAGGACAATTTGTTGAAGTGCTCTTATAAGTTCTTTTATAAATTTGTTTTATAAATTTATAAATTATGTTTCTGATAGATGTAACAAAGGTTGTTCGTGAATGTTAAAAACAGTAAAGCTTTAATTTAGTTAAAATTAATATTCATTAAGCTCTTACTATGAAATACAGCTGGAATGATCTTTACAAGCAAGAATGATCAGACTTTGCCTCACCTACATTGGTCATGTTGTCAGACTGGATCTGTCCCTGGAGAAGGATATCCTGGTTGGTAAAGTAGAGTGTCAACCAAAAAGGAGAAGACCTTCAATGAGATGGATCAACATGGTAGCTACAACAATGGGCTTCATCATAGCAACAACTGTGAAGCTGGTGCAGGAATGGGTCACTGTCCAGTCATTTTGTTGTAATAGGGTTGCTATGAGTCATAGCTGACTCAATGGCACCTAACGGCAACAATGCGCTAGATACTAGGGGAAAATGTGAGTAATATGGTCCTGAGCCTCAAGAAACTTACAATCTAGAAGGGAAGATAAACAAACTATGTCAGGATAATATGGCAAGAAATATGAAAGAGTTATGCATGAGATTATTATACGAGCCTAGAGGAAGGGCCCTTAGCTTAGCCTAGGGATTCAGGGAAAGCTTCCTGAAGGATTCTGTCTGGATAGTCTTGAGGACAGCCAGATGAAGAAAGGCTGAGTAGGCGCTGCCAAGCACAGGAACAGGAAAGGTAATGAGGTAAGCAGCAGCACAGTACTTTTATGAGAGCATGAGGTGTCTGTGCAAAGAATACAACTTGACTTGTGACAAATAAGCGAGATGGGGTGTGGTAAGAAATGAAGCTAACAGGTAGACTAAAGAGACGAGACTCAATAGGGCCTTTATGTCAAGTGGAGAAGTTTGGACATTACTTGTCAAGAGATGGGAAGGCATTAAGAAAACTTTAAGGAAAATAAATGGGAGTTTTAAGATTTTCTTTCAGATGTATTACTCAGACAGCATTGTGAAAGCCAGAGCAAAGTTAGGAAAGCTGGAGGAAAAGAGACCATTAGGTGTGGCTTCTGTAACTAATAAGCTGTTATAATGAATAATGTCTGAATGAGGGCAAGCAAGCCTCTATCTGAGGAAGAGGACATCCCCATTGTATTTGGAAGATAAAACTGGAAGATCCTGATGACATATCAGATAGAGGTGGCTCAAGATCAAGAGGAGTCCAGGATAATTACCAGGTTTCACACTTGAGTTACCAAGTAGATGACAATATAATTAACTGAGAGAGAAATAGCAGATCTTTTTAAAAAAATAATTTTTTTATTTTTTTTTTTCTTTAGGGAGTAGGCAGGGAGGATAAGTTAATGATTTCAGATTGGAACATGTTAAGTTTGAGGTAATTACAGGCAAGGTCAGCCTGGAGATATAAATTTTAGAGTAATTAACAAACGGATAGAGCTACAAAATCAGTGTGTCTACTGCTCTTCTCTTTACATATGTGAAAAACAAGAATAGGGTGGGATATTGGGGAAAACCTAAAGAGGCAGAGGTACGAGGTCTTTGAAAGAATCTGGGCTGCCACGTTGAGATCCAAGGAGAGAAGAGGTGTAATAATGGAGTGGCCAATGAATTAGTTATACATGCCCATAACAACAACAATCAGTTTTTGAGTACTCACTACATGTCAGTCATCTGACAAGGTACATATATATATATATATATATATATATATATATAAAGAATAGATTTAACTCATTTAACATTGATGACCAAAGACTAGATGAGTTGTGGGATGACATTAAGGACACCATACATGAAGAAAACAAAAGGTCATTAAAAAGGCAGGAAAGGAAGAAAAGACCAAAACAGATGTCAGAAGATACTCTGAAACTTGTTCTTTAAATGGAGAGTGGCTAAAGTGAATGGAAGAAATGATGAAATAAAATAGCTTAATGGAAGATTTCAAAGGGAAGCTAAAGAAGACATAGTGAAATATTATAAAGAAAAGTGCAAAGACCTGGAGTTAGAAAATCAAAAGGAAAGAACATGTTTAACATTTCTTAAGCTGAAAGAATGGAAGAAAAAATTCAAGCCTTGAATTGCAATATTGAAGGATTCTATGGGCATAATATTGAATGATGCAGGAAGCATCAAAAGAAGATGGAAGGAATATACAGATTAACTGTACCAAAAAGAACTGTTCAACATTCAACCATTTCAGAAGGTAGCATATGATCAAGAACCAATGGTACTAAAGGAAGAAGTCTAAGCTGCACTGAAGAAATTGGTGAAAAACAAGGCTACAAGAATTGACAGAACAAATGAATGCAGCTCTGGAGGCACTCACTCATTCATGCCAAGAAAACTGGAATAAAGCTACCTGGCCAACTGACTGGAAGAGATTCATATTTGTGCCTATTTCAAAGAAGGGTGATCTGACAGAATGCAGAAATTATAGAACCACATCAATAACATCACACACAAGTAAAATTTTGCTGAAGACAATTCAAAAACTGTTGCAGCATTATATCGACAGGGAGCTGTCAGAAATTCAAGACAAGTTCAGAAGAAGGCGTGGAACAAGGCATAACATCGCTCATGTCAGATGGATTTTGGCTGAAAGCAAACAATACCAGAAAGATGTTTACCTGTGTTTCACTGACTATGCAAAGGCATAAGACTGTGTGGATTATAACTAATTAAGGATAACATTCTGACAAATGGGAATTCCAGAGGATTTAATTGTGCTCATGAGGAACCTGTACATAGACCAGGAGGCTGTTGTTTGAACAGAACAAGGGGATGCTGAATGGTTTAAAATCAGGAAAGGTGTATGTCAGGGTTGTATCCTTTCACTGTACTTATTGAATCAGTAACGCTAAGCAAATATTCCGAGAAGCTGGACTATGTGAAGAGTAACGTGGCATCAGGATTGGAAGAAGACTCTTTAACAACCTGTGATATGTAGATGACACAACTTTGCTGTTGAAAGTGAAGAACACTTGAAGCACTTACTGATGAAAGTCAAAGACTATAGCCTTCAGAATAGATTGCAACTCAATATAAAGACACAAAAATCCTTACAATTGGACCAATGTGCAACATGATGATAAATGGAGAAAAGATGGAAGCTGTTCGGCAATTCCATTTTACTTGAATCCACAATCAACACTCACGGAAGCAGCAGTCAAGAAATCAGACATAGGCTTTCAGCCAAACAACGGACAGGCATATGAGGTGAACAGTTACATCAGATACTCCTTGGAGTGATCAATCGTGGGAGAATAGAAGGGCAGTGTTTGTACAGGGAGATAGCTGGGGGAGGAGCAGGAGTGCATGGGAAGGAAGGACACAGGGAAGATGCAACTATGAGGAGGAAGTGGGAAGAGAGCTGTTACACTGTGGGGAATTCATGCAATGTCATGAAACAAAATGTGTACAAGATGCTGTATGGAAAATGAATTTGCTCTGTAAACTTTCATCCAAATCACAATAAAAATTAAAAAAAAAAAAAAAGAAAGAAAGAAATCACATGATGTATTGCACTGGACAAATCTGTTGCCAAAGACCTCTGTAAATATTAAAAAGCAAAGATGTCTTTGAAGACTAAGGTGAGCCTGACACAAGCCACAGTATTTTCAATAGCTTTATATATATATGTGAAAGCTGGACAATGAATAAGGAAGACCACAGAGCACTGATGCCTTTGAGTTGTGGTGTTGGCAAAGAATACTGAAAATACTATAAACTGTCAGAAGAATGAACAAATCTGTTTTGGAACAAGTAACAGCTGGAATACTCCCTAGAAGCACAAATGGCCAGACTTTGCCTCTCCTACTTGGGTCATGTAGTCAGAAGGGACAGATCCCTGGAGAAGCATATCACACTTGGTAAAGTAACAGTGAAAATGGGAAGACCCTCCATGATATGCACTAACACAATGGCTGAAACGATGGACTCAAGCATACCAAGGATTATGAGGATGGTGCAGGATCGGGCAGTGTTTCATTGTGTTGTATATAGAGTTTCTATGAGTTGGAGACAACTTGACGACCCTTAACAATAATAACACGTCAGGCACTGTGCCATTTTATATATCATATCTCACTTGTCTATTGTCCACATGCTATGGATGAGTAATCTGAAATCCAGAGAAGCCATGTAACTTACGTAAGGTGAGCTGGCAGAACTGGGATCTGAACCCAGGTCTGCTGGATTACAAAGCTCATGTTCTTAACTCTGCTGGAGTAAAAGAACTTCTCCAGGATGCATCTTAATATTTTCAAAACAAGGACTGCTATAAAATGCTTTTCCAAGAAGCATATCTTTAAAATTGCCAAGTAATCTCAAAGGAATATTTAATGTCTAATGAGGTCATTATACATTTGATCTCTTTAGAGAATAAAAATGGATTATTTCAGTGGCATATTTTTTTCTATAATCTTTTCCATAAATATAACACTTGTCAAATTATGAGAACAAAAAATGTAAACATAAGGCAATCCACTCAGCTGATTTGAATATTGCTCCAATAATGCCAAAGAAAAGTCCTGGATGGACTGGGTTAGTGTTCTTCAGAGAAAAACAAAGTGCCCTGGACACACACATCTAAGTCTGCTTAGCTTTCTCACAAATATTACTACTGCTCCCAAGAAGAACCATAGAAAGGATACATAGTTCAGCACAAATTCACCACAAACATAGAAAATTCATGGAAATATTTATTATAATAGGAGGTTTATTTTAGATATAAATTACTATACATCTTAAAGAGAGAGAATAAAAAAATCACATTTCTTTGATAAAAGTTGTAATTTTCCTATTTCCCACTAGAGGAAGTAACAGCATTACTCTTACCATTTGGTGGATAAAAGACTGCATATTCTTCCAGTCCTAGTTTTCCTATAAGAGAAAAACATAAATGGTTTCAATATGTTTAAATAAAATAAATATTTAAAAATTAATTTATTTTGTGAATATAGTGGCACAATTATCAAGTGCTCAGTTGCTAACAGAAATGCTAGCATTTCAAACCCACCATCCTTTCTGCTCTGTGGGAGAAAGATGTAGTCTGCTTCTGTAAAGATTACAGCCTTGAAAACCCTATAAAGCAGTTCTAGACTGTCCTGCAGGGTAGCTATGAGTCAGAATCAACTTGATGGCAATGGGTTTGGTTTTTCTGACCATATTATAACCTCATTTTATTTCATGATATAGAATTACTTTGAAAAGATGTCAGCCTTTCTTTGATGATAATAAACTCTTTCATTAATTAAAGTCAATAATTAAACTTTAGTATAAAGTGATGCAAAATAATAAAGCAACACACATTTTCAAGCTCCTTAAGCATTTAAGAAGCAGAAGCACCTATTTATAAGCATAGAATTGTTTTGCTAATGATAAATAATTCTTATCTGTCCTTTAAAGCAACTCCTATTCTTTGCAATGCTTGTTAGTTTTCATTTTTATGGAATATACTGTAATGCTAAAAATTAGATGTATGTAATTATATGGCACTATTTTCTAAACCTTAAAACAGTTCAAAGTTAGTCACTTTGAAAACAGATGTGTGTGACCCCAGCCATGCTATTTTCACCTGCCACATATGAATGAATGTGAAAGCTGGACAATGAATACGGGAGACCAAAGAATTGATGCTTTGAATTACGGTGTTGGCGAAGAATGTTGAATATACTATGGAGTGCCACAAGAATGAACGACTCTGTTTTGGAAGAAGTACAGCCTGAAAACTTAGAAGTGAGGATGGCGAGACTTCTTCTTACTTGCTTTGGACATGTTATTACAAGGAACCGGTCCCTGGAGTAGCACATCATGCTGGTAAAATGGAGGATCAGTGAAAAAGAGAGGAAGCTCCTCAACGAGATGGACTGACACAGTGGCTGCAACACTGGACTCCAGCATGGCAACAATCGAGAGGATGGCACAGGACCAGGCAGTGATGTGTTCCATTGCACGTAGGGTTGCTATGTGTCAGAACCAACTGATGGCACCTTACAACAACAACAACAAAACAGTTCATATGGTCCGAGTAGGGGCTAAATACTTGAATCATCATTGTCTCAACAAATTAAAATACATTTATTATAATCAAGTGTTTAAAGGAGCTTTCCTAAAACTTGCTTTTTCTCAAACATTTAAAGGTTCTGAGCTTTTCCTCACCTTTCACTATCTTCACGTAGCACTTGACAGTTTTGCTAACACCACTGAGTCTACTGAAAAGTCACATATATTCTTATACTAAGCTTTAAGGTAAAATTTTAATTAAAAATGTTACTGTTACTCCTGTTGAGGTTGGTGGCAGGGGGGAGTAAGAAACATGAACAATTTAGGTTAGGGTAGAGACAGCAAGGCCTGATCTTGTGAGCGAGGAGATAATAAATAATTAGAAAAAAAGAGAGAGACAGAGTGCCTTCTTGGTGTCCAGTACTAGGCTAGGTGCTGAGAGGTAAAGAGAATGAATAGATAATGTTGTTGTTAGATGTCATTGAGTTAGCTCTGACTCACAGAGACCCTATGTACAATAGAAACCACTATTTCTGACCACTGCCTGGTCATGTGCAGCCTCACAATCCTTGGAATGCTTGAGGCCATTGTCGCAGCCACTGTGTCAATCCATCTTGTTGAGGGGCTTCCACTTTTTCATTGACTCTCCCTTTTACCAAGCATGACATCCTTCTCCAGGGAATGGTCCCTTCTGACAACATGACCAAAGTAAGTGAGATGAAGTCTGGTCATTCTCCCTTCTAAGGAGCATTCTGGCTGTACTTCTTCCAGAATAGATTTGTTCATTTTTCTAGCAGTCCACAGTATTTTCAGTATTCTTTGCCAACACCACAACTCAAATACATTAATTCTTCTTTGGTCTTCCTTATTCATAAATAGTCATAAATACATGATATGGTCTCTTAATCATGTGGCTTATATTCTAGACTAAAATGTGGAACATTAGGGTATGTTTACTAAATTTTCTGGTACAGGCTTTAGGTGTTTAAATTTTTATTGTTTTGTTAGGTGCTGTCGGGGTGGTGCAAACTCATAGTGACCTTATGTATAACAAGAAAATGCTACTCCAGACACCTTCTCAATCACTGGTATGCCTGAATCCATTTAAAGGTTTGTAGGGTTGGGAGTAGGTGACGGATTTGTGGACCTGGTAAGATTTAGCCTAGTTTTCAAGAACCTAAGATTTCGGGATAGAGGAGAGGGCAGCCTTCCCCATGCAGGGAATAGAGGGAGACGAGAATGAACATGGGGTGTGGTGGAATAATCAGGAAAACAAAGCCAGCTGGCTGAAGGTAGTGCCCACTGCTGGAGGGCTTGGAAAACCTGGCTGAGTTCTAATTAGTGAGCTCATTAGATAGTTGTACACTCAGTTTTTCAGCAGGAAATAAAGTTAAACAAACAAACAAGGAAAACAAAATTAAAAAACGTTTTTATAAGTTTAATTTAGGAGCAATGGAACTGAGACAACCTCAAGTTCAGGGGAGCCTGAGCTTAGTATAAGGTAATGTCGACCTGCCCTAGGGTGAGGATTGGAACAGTCACGCAGAGATGATACTCAGGAAGTACAGACAAAACTGTTTCTTACGGCAACACAAGAATGACCCCACTCGATAGGGATGTGAGCTTTAGTGCTAGGTATTCATTACCTAACAAAGAGAAGTTGGGAAGAACTTCTAGCAAAAATTAGTTCAGTGCTCAGCAATATCTTGTAGGCAGCTAGTGACTAAAGATGAGACCAAAAAAAGCACCAATATAGAAATTAGCTGATGGCACATAAATTATAATAAAAGTTTTAAGGGTAGCAGAATATTTTGAGAGAAGAAACACAGAAGGTAAAAAACAGAAGTAGAAAAAGTTCTTGTGATAGACTAATGGAAGGGGAAATAAGTCACTAGCTATGACAGAAAGAGCAGCAGAGGGGCAAGCACACAGACGACAGAGAGGCTAACTTCATATGGTGCTTCTGGGAACCATTAGTCTGTTGTTGGTTTGAGTTGCTCATTATTTAAATGAGCATAAAAAGATGGTTATAATCATCTAAGAGAAGTCTGTTTGAGCACTTGACAAATTAAAAAACTCACAAAACCAATGAAAAAAACCCCAAACTCACTACCATTGAGTCGATTCTGACTCATAGCGACCCCCTTTGGATTTCCAGGTGGTAAATCTTTATGGAAGTACATTGCCCAATCTTCCTTCTGTGGAGTGGCTGGTGGGTTTGAACAGCCAACCTTCTGGTTAGCAGTCAAATGCCTTAGGCCCTATGCCACCAGAGCTCCTTTGCAAAACCCATATATGTTATAAAATAAATCAATAAACAGTCTTGGGAAGATTATGTAAATCATACAGAATACTCCCTTTACATTTTAGAAATTTTACCTCTTATGTATGATTTTGGTGGTGAAGCACTGTTGTATGCAAAGTGACCCAACACAGATGTATCCCGGGAAAAACAAAGTAATACCTGTACATAACATTGGAAAAAACAAAAAATTAAGCACTGTCATAAAACCAGATTATTCATTGTTACTTCCTGCTTTGGAGGAGCTGTGGTGGAACTTTTGACTGCAGCACTGTGCCTTGCAATGGGAAGATTGCCCTCTATCGGCACACCTAAGGTGAGTGTTACAGTGGCATGCCAAACATGGATGGTGCAAGTTCATTCAGATTTCTCACTGTTTGCTACCTACACCTTCAACAACAGCAGAAAATGAAAGCTGGTGAAAACTACCTGATCCTTTCCTATGTTTTCTTTCTGGAAAAGAAACGTGTGGGGAAATGTAATAGATGAGAAATGTATAGGGCAGACATTAACTACAGTGGCATAAAGCTACTTGGGGAGAGAAGAAAACCAGAACTAGACTCATTTTGGGGATGCAACAGGCAGCTGGACATGTCAGGGCGTGAGGGCTGGCAACTCATAGTATTTAGAAGGAATGGTACTAGCAGTACAAGTGGTGGCCCAACACGGAGCAGAACTGACCTGCAGGTAGAGTGTGGCAACTCTATCTGCGACAAAAACAAGCAGGCAGATAGTCAGGATCCAGGACGCCCCTTAGGAGAAACTGGACTACTGATGCCACCGGGGCTTTGGGGGCAGGAGTTCAATCTCTAGGAAGGTGAATGGTGACGGGCTAGTGGGCCTTAGTGTTACAAGACCTGGGCTTTTAAGATGTTACCAAGAAAGGAATTCAGGAGTAACAGGAAAAGGCAGAACACTAATCAGGAAAATAGCGTACATTTTCTCTTACTCTTTTTAAAATTGGTTGTCACCATCTGACAGATCAACAATAGGGCCTTCCTCTAATTCAATTTGCAATGCTTTAATTACTGATGAGGTTGGACACTTTTCTATTTGCTTTCTTTTGTGATTTTCCAGTTCATCCTAGTCTGTTTTAAGATTTATGCTGTTAGAATCATTGATTTAATTTTTTGTTTATTAAGGTTTCTAAACTTTGGTCTAATTACAGTGAAACTTGAGAGAACAGGGACTTGATAGATGCCTTATTTTTCCATGTCTTGAAAGTATTCCACCCTTGACAGGTATAATCTTATCACTTTTTTATTGCTTTCTATTAGTGGAAAAAGTTCGCGTTTTCCTTCTCTGACAAGTTTTTACCTTACACAGTGTCTGGCTTTTGCAGGTTTTACTGTATATGGTGCAAATGGTATTGCTCAATTGGCAATTTTAATTTTTTAAAATTATATTGTGGTGAAAGAATACTTAAAACATATACTGTTTCAATAATTTCTACATAAACAATTCAGTGACATTAATTACACTCTTCAAGTAGTGCAACCATTCTTAGTCTTCTTTTCCAAATCATTCCACTACCATTAATATAATCTCAATACCCTCCTCCCTGTAAAAAACAAATCAAACTCACTGCCATCAAGTGAATTCCAAATCATAGTGACCCTACAGATCAGGGTAGAATGGCCCCATAGGGTTTCCAAGGCTATAAATCTTTACTGGAGCAGATAGTCTCATCTTTCTTCCTTGGAGCTGCTGGTGGGTTCAAACTGCCTTTTGGTTAGTAGCTAAATGTTTTGACCACCATACCACCAGAGCTTCTCCCCACTCCTCTGTAATAACTAATGATTTTTGGTTTCTGTATAGTTGTTTATTTCATATAAGTGAGTTCATACAGTATTTGTCCTTTTGTGACAAATTTGCTTTGCTGAGCATGGTGTCTTCAAGGTTCACTCATGTAGTGGCATGCATCAGTTCATTCCTCTTTACAGCAGGATAGTATTCCATTGCATGTCTATACTACATTTTGTTTATCCATTCATTTGTTGATGGACATTTCAGTTGTTTCTGTCTTTTGAAAATTTTAATTATTTTTGATGCAGAGATGCTTTTAGGTTTTAGGTGAACAAATCTACCAGAACTTTTTTTTATATGCTTAAAAAGTCCTTCCCCATTTTTATATTCTACATACATTCTCCTAAATTATGTAAGTCATTGGTTCTGTTCATCAAAGATTTCTGATTCTTCCCCTTTGGGAATTCACACTAGCTTGCCTTTTCTGGACACCTTGGTGTTAGGTGTTAGGTGTGGCCATTTGACTTGTTTTGCTCAATGGAATGAAGGGATATGTATCACTTGAACATTTCTAAGTGGAAGTTTCAAGAACTAGAGCATAGTTAACTAGTTCCAGAAGGTATGCTGTCTTGTCAACACTTTGATTTTAGCCCAGTGAAACCATTTTGGTCTTCTGACCTCTAGAACTGTAAAAGAATACATTTACATCATTTTAAGCCACTCCAAACCAAACCAAACCAAACCAAACCCAGTGGGTGGCCTTGGGGCCTCGGGCTCTCAGGCCGGCCACCCCTGGCCACCTCGGAACCAGGGTCAACCAGCAGGGAGATGAGGTGGCGGGGACAGACTTGGTCTGTCGCTGGGGATCAGGCAGTCAGAGCCAGAGTTGAACTCAGACTTAGACACATTTTCCCCAGACCTAGAGGGCACGGGTAGACTAGATACCTCGTTTAGGTGGGACTCCTAACCTGACTGTTGCTGTTGTTATGTGCTGTCAAGTTGAACCTGATTCATAGCAACCCCTCCTTGGGTTTCCGAGGCCGTATCACTACAGAAGTAGATTGCCCAACCTTCCTTCCGAGGAGTGGCTGGTGGGTTTGAACTGCCAGCCTTCTGGTTAGTAGTCAAGTGCCATAGGCACTATGCTACCAGAGCTCCCTAGCCTGACTAGATGTGTATTAATTTGTTATTGAAGCAATAGAAAACAAACACAACCATTAAAGTAAAATCATACAAAGGGAAAATATGTTTACAAATATCTTTTAAAAAATATACTCACAAATATCTTCCTATCATTGTCTCGAGGGAAAACACTCCCTAACAAAGTGTTTGTATTTACTTTCTCTTAGTTTAGCAGGCTAGTGGGGGCATAGTAATTTCAGGAGAAGCTCTGTGCTTAAATATATCCTCATAGAATCACTACTGCCCTAGAGAAGACATGATATCTGAGACGGCTCTAAAGAGAATATCGGTGGCTGTAAGGTGATAATGCCAGGCACAGTGTGTTAGACAGTATGTACTGGTGTGCAATCCTGGGATCTAAGCAAAGAGCAGCTAACTCCTATTCTAACCTGAGTGGTTGTTTTAACTTCTGTGATTTCAATTTGTATCTGTAAGAAAATGACAGCTCAACTGTAAATTTGCTAGCACATGTTTTGACAATATGAAAATGGTAATTTCAATCAAATCAACTAGGAAATTTTGATTACTTTCTAATGAATTAAAAAGTGAACTTTTTTTGGGAAAAGTTATACGTGGCAGTGATTTATTTTAAAGAGCTGTAAAAAATTGGATGGGTAAGTCTGAACTATAGAAATACAGCAGAATTATATCTAATGATCAGAGTATACTGTGAGTGAAATAAAAAATAAGGACCCTTTCCTAATCCAGTTTCTTGCTTAGCCATGGATCTTTTATCCTCTTTTCTCATCACATTATTATGGAGAAAAATATACTTTCAAAATAGTTTTCTTTGCTATACTTAGTGTTTCTAATCATAACCACCAATATCACCATGGTTATAACTACCTGAAGCCTAAAAATTTATTCATCCTTGACTCTTCCTTCTCGCTCAATGTGCATCAAATGCTCCTATGCTACTTTTGATAGCTGCATTAATTCATTCAACAAATATTTATTGGATACCTACTGCTCTAGGCATCAAGAAGACAGTGATGAACAAACCAAACAAAATCTCTGTTCTCATAGTGCTTATTTTTCGTGGATGGAGACAGAACAAAACAAAAACCAACCAGAATGAACAAACAAACAAACAAAAAGCAAAGTCCATTGTATGCCATATGGTGCTAATGGAGAAAAATAATACAGAAAAGAGGGATAAGACACAGGCGGTGTGTGTGAGTATGTACGTATTAGGGGAAGCTTACTATTTTAATTATGGACCTGAGGTGGTCAGGAAGTGAGCCTGGGATAATAACATTACAGGCAGATGGAAAAGCTGCAGAAATATTAGGCAAGTCAGGAGTTGAAGAGGGAGATCCAGAAAAAGATGTAAAATTGGGAGTTGTCAGTTTATAGATGGTATTAGAGCCCTCAGAACAGACAAGATCACCAAGGGCAAGGATTGTTGTTTTTGTTGTTGTTATGTGCTGTTGAGTCGGACCCAACTCATAGCGACCCCTCCTTGGGTTTCTGAGGCAGTATCACTATGGAAGTAGATTGCCCCATCTTCCTTCCGAGGAGTGGCTGGTAAGTTTGAACTGCTAGCCTTCTGGTTAGCAGTCAAGTGCCTTAGCCACTATGCTACCAGAGCTCCCAGGGCAAGGATTAGAAAGAAAAAAAAAAAAAAAAAGAGGCCCAAGGACTTATCCTTCAGATACTCTAGGGTAAGATGGGGTGATGAGGAGAAACCAGCAAAGGTGACTAAGAATGCCAGCTAGTAAGATAGAAATAAAGCCAGAGTGCATGATGCCTCAGAAGCCAAGGAAGGAAAGAGAATCAAGGAGGAGAAAGTGATAAACTCAACTGTCAAACAGATCAAATACATTGAGAAGTGAGAACTTACCACTGGATCCTGTAATATGAAGTCACTTGTGGCTTTCAGTGGGGAGGCTGGGCAAAAATATCTGAGTAATGTGGTTTTCAAAAGAGAATGAGAGGACAGGGATTGGAAACACTAACTAGAGGTGTTTTCAAGGAGTTTTGCTAAATAAGGGACTAGAGGAATGTGGCAGTAGCTGGAAGGGGATATGAGATCAAGAAAGATTTGGATTTCATTTTATTTTGCTTTGTTTTTAAGATGGGAGGAATAAGAGCATATTTGCATACTGATATACAGGAAAGGTAACAACGTATTTGTGAGAGAGGGACACTGTAATGGCTTTGAGTAAAGGGAGATGAGTTTCAGTATCCAAATACAAGGACTGGCCTTATCTTATACAGGAGCAAGGACAGTT